AGCAAAGCCGCAAATGTCGCCACGTTGACAAGAAACATGGATGGATGTGGAAAATCATTGATACTTTTAGTTCTGTCATGTTTTACTTTATGTTGCTCTTTAGTTCTTTTTATTATTGGAATTTTTACGGTCTCGTGGATGAAAACGTCCGGAGTTGGGACCTCGTATGATTATGGACTGTTCAAGGAGAGGGATTGTGATCGCGACAAATGTACATACACGACATGGTCAGAGTTAATGAACGAGGGTAAGACTGTAGTGAAACATCGACCATTCAGATTTTGTGGGAGCATGTTTTTTTTAATAAATTGTTTTATTCTAAATTTCTTGAAAAAATAGTTTGTTTCCATTTGAATTGAGCGAAAAAAATTAACTCGACATTAGTTTTCATTTTAAAATGCGTGTGCCTAGCTGTATCTTATTGATAAACACAGTTTGCTTTTGAATTAAGTCGAAACAAAATTGTCTCGAAAAAAATATACCACTCCCCCGACCCTACAAAAGATGGATGGTCGGTGCTTTAAGATCTTGTGTTAACATTCAGTCAAATAAAATGTTTATGCGTTTAGACAAGGCACTTTTGGGTTGAATGCGTGACAGCGTTTAAGACTTGCTATAGTATTTATTTTGTAAGTTATATCAACAGATTAAGTCCATCGAGCTATAGCTTTCTGTAACTGATCATTCAATTTCCTCAATGCAGTATTGTTAATACTGATTTGCTTGTACCTACTTTTTCAATGATTACATAAATTCTTGTTATTCCATTGATGAAAAGGTTGAAGAAGTGATCGAGTACTTGGAAAACTATTTTAATAAACCTGACGCATGTTTATCTATCTGTCCCATTTCAAGAATCTCGTCAGAGGTTGTCTTTATTTATATCTTAGTGGAATTTTATGTCATTTAGGAGTTTATTGTGATAGCAGATCTTTGGTAATCTCTGTTTAATTGATAATAAACCTGTATAGGCAGTTTGGTAAAGATCATGTTTAATATGAGTTTGATCAAGATGTTATATATTTTGTGTTTTTGCTTGCTGTTTAACGAAGATTTACATCGTTTCTCCCTTTTTGATGATAGTGCATTTACTTCATAGATTTTAATGTTCATATGTAAATAAATCATCGTATTAAGAATTAATAATTTGTTGCACTATAATTTAGCAACTGTTGTGATTTGAATAAATAATTTGACCTCAGATCCTGCGAAAATACTGAAACTAGTTATTCATCGGCGGCTAAATGAACTCAAAAAAATAAGATGGTCGTTGACTGCCACTTATATTCTGAATAATTTTAACCCGGATTTGTTTTTTTCTCAATCGATTTATGAATTTCGAATAGCGGTATACTACTGTTGCCTTTATTTACAGCTTGTTGAGACTTATTCGTTTGCTTATTATTCAATCATTCCCCCGACCGCATACTAGCTCCTACCTGATTGTTAACTAATATGACAAATTTATAAATTATATTCTAAAGATGGACATACTGATACACAAGGTATAATATGGTATATTGTATTGTACCACCTTTTCATGTTTATACAATTGTATGATTTGATTTGAAGTATGGTTCGAAATATTTATTTCCCATGTTAATTTTTAATAAACCTTTCTAAAATTGTCCGTTTATAAATTTTGATACTAGTATTATAAAGAAACTAAGTTTCAACTCCCTCAGGCAAAGTTGATCTTAGATTGATTTGGCTATTTTTTAAGTCCTTTTTTGGTTATATAGTTCTTCAAATGTTTAGGTTCTTATATACATCCTTGGCTTTCAAATATTCGGCTTTGGGCGTTCTTGATAAAGTAAATCCAGAAAAGCGCTTTGGACGTATGAAATTTATAACGTGTTGTTACTTCTTTTTTGAAACTTCTGAATTGAATTTTTTATTTAGATTTGTTTAATTGATATATGGGTACTGATTCTAAAATATTAATTTGTCTGCACAAACAGGCGTTGACTGCACAAACAGTATGACATTTATTTTACTGTTGTTGTTTACACTCAACATGCTCAACATTTAGTTATTATGAGCAATTAACGCCTCAGATAAAAAAAAAAGATTTGACACTACGATACATATTATATAACAGCATGGCCATCGATCATTCTTAAAACAAGAATAGAAGTTCAAAATGTCTTATCATTACAATCTGGGTGTGTAGTGAAAGTTTTATAGCATTCAGTCATGTATCATCGGCCAACTTCGCATTTCAAATCAGTTAAGTAACCGTAGCATATTATATGCTATTTGACATAGACGTATTATAATTTACTAGAAAAAGTTGCATGTTTTTGGTAATTAAACCGAACAAACAATATTAAGTGAGCAGTGATTCTTACATACAATTAAAAGTAGTTTGATGGACAATAAAGGTTAATCAGTGAATTATATAGATATAGTGTTGATAAATATATGGTAATAAGGACACATAAGAAACAATGCCTCCCTTTTTGTTCACCCGACCCTATGGGATAGCGGAGCTATTGCCATCACTTGGCGTCTATCGTCGTCATAAAGTTTCCTTTTAAAATCTTCTCTGAAATTAATGAAACAATTTGAACCTAACAAACTTAAACTGAATTATCCTTATGGTATCTAGAATAGACTTTGTGGGTTTTTTTTTCTCTCTGTCAATCGACCAACATGGCCGCCATGACTTAAATGAAACATAAGGATAAAATGCATCTATTGGTTAATATAGTCAGAACCAACTGACAGAAGTAAACATTTTAAGATCTCTCGTCTTCCCTTTCCCCAATATTATCAGGACAAAAACACATGTAAGGAGTCGTCAAATATTTTGGAAATAAAATCATTTTCTAGCATTGCTGATCATTTTTCCTGTTTACAGTCTCTATCTAACTAGTATAGTTTTCGAGGCAATAGGCAACAATCGAAAATTAAGCAAACTTGTAATTTACGGTAAAATAACTCCTAAAATGAATCATCTAATGGGTTCGGTTATACATATATATGCAATTTGTAGATCTTGTATTACTGATAAATTATTATCATTAAAAAAAAACTCGTATAAGGAGTCATCCAATGATTTTGGTCATATTCCCAATTTATGGATCGTCTGTATTGCTGATCAATATTGCTGTTTACTAGTTTCCTGCTATATGTTTTATTTTTCGATATAAAAGGCAATACATAAAAATTAGTCACATATAGTCATATAAGGGTTATAACTATTATAAGGAGTCATCTGATAATTTTGCTAGAAATGGTTAGTATTACAATAAGTAGATCTTATTATTTTGACCGCTGTCGGATTCTCTATTAAAAGTGGTTCTAAAAATATTTGACTAAAAATGTATTTTACCCTTATGTTTTGGCCATGATGACTATGTTGGTTGATTGACAGAAAATGAACCACAAAATTTATACTGGATACCCTAATGATCATTCGGGTTAACTTTGGTTGTTATTTGCCCAGTACTTTCAGAGAAGATTTTAAAAAATAGATCAAGACGATGACAACGGACGATGGACGACGACGACGTACGGACGCCAAGTAATGACAATAGCTCATCTGGCAAATATGGCCATGTGAACTATAAAGGAGACATATCTGCTCCTTTTTATTTACAAAAGCAATTTTTTTTATCAACGATTTTTATTATCAATCGTTTACTTTTGATTGTATGGAAGAATCACTGCTCATTAAATAATGTCCAGTTTAATTGCCAAAAAACAAGCAACTTTTGCTGATAACTGATAATACGTCTATTTGTCAATGATGATATAATATATGTTACTGTAACTGATCGGATTTGAATTGGACAGTTTGTCGATGACACATGACTGAATGCAATAAAACGTCCACTACATCACCCAGATTGTAATCATTAAAAAATTTGCGCTCCTATGTTTTGTAATGATAATATACGCCCATGCTGGGATCTAATATTAATCTCATTGCCAAATTTTTTTCTTATCTAAGATATCTTAATTGTTCTTTCTATCTAAAAATGTTCACTATAATTAACAACTGTAAATAAATGTCTGTCAATGCCTATTTGTGCAGATAAATTTACATTTGATAATCTATACTCATATTTTAATTAAACAAAGCAAATACATCAAACCATATCATGAAATAATGCCATGGTATACTCATATAACCGTACCGTACCGTATCATAATGCCATTCATGTATACTACACGATGGTATTCGTAACATACCGTCATACAATACCACATACCATCTTTTACAGTATGCCATTTTACTACGGACAAGAAAACCATTGAATCAATTTCATTCAAACAAACTTATGGAGTTTTAAAGTAAATTAATGTTAATATCCTTACTAAAACATTCCATCAATAATATACTTCACAATATTTAATCATACTATTGTATACCATACCATACCGGATAGTACTATTCTTACATACCATGTACGAGTACCATACCACATTACCATACTGTACCATGTTTTACAGTATGCCCTTGAGGTGTAATATGCATTATCTTCAAAACAAATTAAGTTCCAAGTTAAATGGGGGAAATACAAAACGTTTAATAACTTATCCTCCTAACAATACCATAGAATTGTGCATAACGTAAATATACACTCAAACAGTGTTGACACGCAAGTGCTGTTTTTCAATTATACAAATTGTTTTTTTGATACATAGTAATAAAAAAAGTTTTCTTATTGAAATAAGATTCACCTGTCTTGAACTTGTAGCAATCACCTGTAAATTGCTTCAATTGTTATCTTAGTAAGCACTTCAAAACGATGTGTAAACATATGTACGTGTTATCAGCCAGTAATAATTAATTAATTGGACATACAAAGCTATCCCCATTGTTGTTAAGAGATATCTTGTCTAAAAACATTTTATTCAATTTTCATTCATTGTTTTATTCAAAAGTAATTTATTAAACAGATAAAAACATCTTAGCTGATCGTTGTTATGGTAATTGGTTGTTACTGCAGATCTTTATTTTTAGGTTGCGCATCTATAGATAGGAGAAAAGTATGCAATTCATTTAGTTGTTATGATGCTATTTTCTGTCTATTTTGTTTAATTATAAACAATCCGTTAACTTTCGTTGGCCAAAGAACTCTCGAAAGAACTAAAGAGCATTTATAAATCTTCTGACAAAATGGTGGTTGCGAAAAGATGGAAAGAAGCTTCTGCTTATATAATTATTTCCTTGTTTTGCATGGCTGTATCTGTTGTGCTTTTTCTGGTTGGGTTTTCATCAGCAGTATGGGTTAAAAAGACATACGAAGATAAAGGAATAAGAATGTATGGACTTTGGAAATATACAAGATATTATCCATGGGTTAAATCCACTGAGGAATATAGACTTAGTGGAATGCTTCTGAGCAGTGATGAAACACCTTTGTCGGCAACGACTACAGGTATGTAAGGACCCAAAACAATAATCTACTTAACCCCTTGTTCTAAATGATATGTCGTCATCTTCTTAATCGATTTATTCTAATAACGATTACTTGGCTAAATGCTTAAACTTTGTTCACTCTCCCGGTGATAAAAGGTTTTAATGTTTTTCTAATCTTCATTGGTTTTGCTCATTGTTGAAGGCCGAACGGTGGACTATAGTTTCTTACAGCCATGTCCTTTGGTCTCGGTGGATAGATAGTTGTCTTATTAGCAATCATACCACATCACTTATTTTTATATAAACAATGCTACATGCAGTGTTTGTCGGTAACATGTCCTGCAGCTTAACTGTTTGTACAAGCTTGTCGTAATTCATTTGAGTGATTTTGACTGGAAATGTAATCGATCGTCGAACAAGAAATCATTTTCCTATTTTTCGTGCGTTCATAACACACCTTAAAACGTTGTTCCTGAGATATATTTCAAAGAAAGTTTACAATAACATGTAGAATATTATTTAATAAATTATTTCTTTAATAAGTAGCATCTAAATGGAATGGATCAAATTTTTCCTTTATGGGTATGTGTAAATATGGGCAAACTTCCTTGAGCGTTTAATTGAGACACTTTTTTATTCAATTTCTTCTGCTTTTTTTTTATGATATTCACAATTTTGGCAATGTGTGAATGGCCATGTAGTAAATAAAGAGGCGATGAGGCTTTTATATTACTTTTAAAGTCCCTGGTTTGAGCTGTGCAGTTATAGGACCGAAATAATACTTCACTACATTATAGCAATTTTATTTACTAGTATTGGTTTATAGTTGATACTTGATGTAAAGAGTTAGAGAAAGAAAGAGAGGTGAAGGATACCAAAGGGACATTCAAACTCATAGGTCGAAAATAAACTGCCACGGCTAAAAAAGAAAAAGACAAACAGACAAACAACAGTAGTGTACACAAAACAACATAGAAAACCAAAGACTGAGCAACACGAACCCCACCAAAAACTGGGGGGATCTCAGGTGCTCAGGAAGAGTAAGCAGAGCCTGCTCCATATGTGGCACCCGTCGTGTTGCTCATGTTTTCCTCTTATATTTGATGCGTTTCTCTCAGTTTTAGTTTGTAACCCGGATTTGTTTTTTCTGTATCGATTTATGAGTTTCGAACAGCGGTATACTACTGTTGCCTTTATTCATGTAAGTATATGTCTAATTCGGTATAGGTCATATTCGGGGGAAGGGGACGAGATCGTAGTTACGACAATTGGAACATATCCGTCGTCATCTGTGAAACAGATATTCAATAACGGTCAACCAACTCGTGATGGCGTCCGTAAAATTTTCAAAGGGATTATTTCAACTTCATCGCTTGGAACTCTTGGTTTAAAAGCTTCCTTGTGAGCAGCAACCCTCTATCAAGGAAATCATGATAGGAAACACAAGCCCTGGAATATCGGATCAACTGGGAGATATATACTCCGTAAGCAGGCGCTGCTGGAGTGTTGCTATATAGAAATTGAAATTTCATAATTGGGAAAGTTGAAATCATCTATTTTGTCGTACAATTCTGTTTTCAACCGACCCTCATTGTCAATTTCTAGATGTTTGTCAAGATATGGGGCAGACTTAATTAACTGTATCTGTTGTATCCTTAAAATAATTGCGCTAATCTGAATCGTACCGTCCCTCTTATACTTTACTTCTTCTCATTTCTTCACTGTTAAAACAGTCAGTTACGCAAATAGTGTTCTGATGATGTCCAAACTAATATTGCTTTTGTAATATTTTGACTGAGTGTGAATTCACATGGCGGATGAAGCATGCATAGCCAGGAGACGCTTACCTTGTTGACGCACCATGCAGGTCAGTTAATGCGATTCCCTCAATTTTTATTCTTTGCCTTGATTTGTCTCTTTTTAAATTTGAATATCGGTAAACTACTGTCGATTTAACATTAATATATTCATTAGTACATTTCACATTACATTTTATTCATTTCAGTGGTATGCGTCAGATGACTTTATTAACTTTAAAGGATTGAAAATCGTTTTGCAATAGCCCATCTCATCCAACGAATTGATAATTATGCATTCATAAAGACAAACGGAATAACTGTTTACAGATTGATAGTTAAATTAATATGTACATACACAAGTATGTACATTTACCATAACTCTTTCTTTAAAGTGATTTATAGTTACCTAAAAACATTAAAACCAGTCTTTAATTTTGTGGATGTGGTCCCAAAACATAATACATTTCGAAATTCTACAAGACCGCAGACATGCATTAAAAAGACAGGCGGAATAACTGCATAGATCGAAATTGTCATATTTAATATTGTCAGATTAAAAATTGTAAAAATAAAAGATATATACCACAAGACTGACTCTTTTTTTTTTTAAAGTTGTACAATCTAGTTTTATTTTAACACAACCAATATTAATTTTTTCATCCCAATGGTCTTGGTTCCAAAATTATGAATTTCAGATGATCTTAATACATTTTGATTCTTCCACTTAAATCAGTCTGAATTACTAGAAGGATTATACAATGAAGCAGTCGCTTAGAACAATTTAATTCTTGTCATCACAAACTATTTTTCAAACTAGTTCCAAACAACAAAACAAGATCTAGAGTTGACTAGGGTGTCCATTGGAAAAGAACGCAAAATGTCAACTTTATTGAATACCATAAGAGTAATATTGAGGCACTTTACAGAATCAACCTTTCCATTTTTCACCAGTCTTATTTTTTAAACAAATACTTAAAATTTCTCCGAGTATCGACATGTTGATCTATTTTTTTCAAAATCATATCTTTCAGATTGGTATAGAGCAACACAGGCAATGGAATGTCTTGGATTGATTTGTCTAGTTTTGGCTTTACTGATCCTGTTATTGTACTTCTGTGTACCATCATGTAAAGTACGGAAGGCACTCTATGGAATGATTTTCTTCACATTTTTAGCAGGTAATTGCAATTATTTCTCTTCGTTTTACTCTTATTAATAATATTAAGATATTCATACATTTGGTATTTTTTTTAGTAATTAATATTCTGAAACATAGCAGGGTATGATTATGCAGTTCTGATTTTTCCTGATCCAAGCATGTTTTCACTTTCACTAAATCATTGCAATTTTAAACAATGAATAGAAACATTCACCAAAGCATTAGCTTGTTTCAAGTCAAAACGAAAAATCTACTCAGAAACATAAATTTTTTTTACCGATATTCAACAGATAGTATTAAAACTTTACATTGTTTTTTCTTCTTCTTCATGGAACATGATATTTACTTTTTAAAGAAAAGAAACAACTGTAGGCACTTTTTTAGAATACTGTTTACCAAGTTAATATGAAATGCCTGTACCAAGTCAGGAATATGTTAGTTGTTTTCCATTCGTTTATTGTGTTTGAGCTTTAGATTTTGCCATTTGATAAGGAACTGTCCGTTTTGAATTTTTCTTGGATCTCGGTAATTTTTGTTATTTTACTTTTTATTGTAATGATCCTTATTTTTTTGTCTTTTTTTCAGTAATTTTCATTGTGATTGGAATTGCCATTTTCGGTTCGAAGTTCGACGAAAAAGGATTTGACGTCGGATGGTCCATGGGATTAGCGATTGCTGCAGCATTGTTAGCTTTTATCTCAGGAATTTTACAAATTTTAGAGATGACATAATATTGTATATATATATATGTGTGTGTGTATGAGTGTTTCATGTCGTATAATCATTATAAATTGTTGTATGTTTCACTGTTTTGAATTGTTACATATGTTTTGGTGTCAACAGTTTCCACTTACTACATGTTAAAACCATTGTTGTCGTTAGATTATTAATTGTTATATTTGCTTACAATGAATATACTTGTCGTTACATATCATCTCGTTTATTATGAATGCTGTGCAAAATATTTTTTTCCATTTTTTTGTTTCCTACAGTTTCAACGACTGTCAATCCAAGATATTTTACAATTGTTGGGTTTAAGAGTTCATGGTGAAAGGAAATTAAAAAAGGCGATTCGTACGCAGCAAAGTATGTTATTTTCATTTTCTAGCATTGGGTCAAGATACCACTGCTGCATGGTGGACTTAATTCAAACCTCCCGAGTGTTTCATAAACTCAGTACTTAGGCAGTGCTTCGGGCGCAACAAATTTATAAAGTGAAATTTTACTTTGAGATTTTGACTAGGCATTGTTAAAAACAAACCTTGTTTCATCAACCCAGGTACTCAGGTACTCGTCAATTTAAGATTATAAGTAAAGATCACTTAATATTCCACCAGAAAAAAATGTGTTTCAGAATTACTTAATTGTTATTTACATGGCTGAAAAAGTAAAATCACAAAAATACCGAACACCGAGGAAAATTCAAAACGGAAAGTCCCTAATCAAATGTCAAAACCAAAAGCTCAAACACATTAAACGAATTGATAACAACTGTCATATGTGAATGTGATTAAGCATTAACACAAACCACTTTGTTCATACATTTGTTATATAAGGAAGCAATCGTTTATTACTTGCATCTTCATACGTTTGTTTTACTTATATCTTAAATATATAACAATCTACAAGAGTTGTGACTACACATTTGCATGTAAAAAAAGTTAGTAATCAAGGATACCAGGCTTATAATTTGCTACGTCAGACGCGTGTTTTATCTACATAAGACTCAACATGCAGTGGTGCTCGAATCAAACAGTTGGAAGTCCAAATCAAATTCAAGGTATAACACAAACTGACACCGTTGGAAAAGTTTTGATCAAGTCACGTATGTTTCAGTCCAGCATCGGAAGTTTTGTTTTATAAACATATATGTTGTTGTTAACAAATGAATAGGTTGATAAAACTTAACACTTGGTGCAGACATGTATGTTAAGCAGTCACTATGGAGTCATGAAACATTGTCATATTTGACCAACAATCATGATAAAAGTTAAATGTTTTGGTAAAGTGAAATTAACCCAAAGACTCGTCCTAAAGACAAGTTTGTATAAGATATCTCAAATATCCTTTTGGTTGAGGCTGTGTTATGGCTTTTATATAAATATTAATGACAAATTATAAAAATGAGACTGTTTTTGCATGTAGCGCAGTTTATCATCAAACGAAATCTTACATTACCTCTGTATCTTTAATCCCCTTTGTAGAAGAACCATACATTTGTACGTAGAACTTGTGATCTGCATTAATCTATGTACAGTGATGCCTCCACCAGTTATGAATATGTTGTAGTGCTCTATATACAGTGAAATCCTACCCACACACACTTATGTTAAAACACTGACGCCAATAGGTAAGATATAAGATTTTAAAATCTGAAAACTAAGGCAAATCTGAAGAATTAATTATTAGACAGATTTATAACATGTTTTATTTTTCTAATTCAAGGGACCAAAAAGCGATACCATACTTTTCCCTTAAAACTTGTTATATGTTGTAAATATCCTTTGATAAAACAGTTTCGTCTTGTATCAATGCAGGCTCGTTTACTACAAGAGCAAAGTTAATTTAGAATTGATAAATGCATCAACACTAGCCCTCTTATGCAGATTTTTCTATTACAAGTTCTTTAAAGCCTGTCCTTGTATCATGTTCTCTGGTGAACAAAGCTCCTGAACACTCGCCAACCATAATCTCTGCGGTAGTATATACAATCAAATTACCCATCACATGGCCACCGTAAACATTGCCGTCCTTATCACTTAGGCTTGCATGCAGATGGCCACCCACAGAAAGAGTTCCAACCAAAGAAACAATTTCGAAATGACCTTCATATTTCTTTACCTGTAATATATTAGAACATAAAGTTTTATATCATAAGCAAGTCGTAAAAAACATAGAATAACTATTTTTCCAGTCTGAAAATTATATCTTAAGGTAAATAATTTTAAAACTTTTAAAAGATGCATGCATTGTTGCTCAAATATTGGTTATATACATACTTCAAAACAAAACAGTTTACTTATTTGTTTTTAAAAAAGTTGTACTATTTTTATAAATCTTAAGTGGGCATTCGAAGTGATCAATGACGTAAACGAGAAATATATTAAGTAACACTTGTGCCATTACGTAATTTAAAGAAGTATACCGTCTTGCTATCTGACATCCGTAGAGTTGCATGTGTTACACTGCCTACACAAGTCATTACAAATGCTGCATTCAATTAATTCTTATTCACAAAGCTGACAAGTGTTTCTTTAATTTCCTGTCCAGGCTGAAGTCTCAAAGGATAGCAAGTAAGAGAACATGGAACACACTGAAATTTTCAATTTATTATATTTGATTATTTTTCTAGTTTTGGAATTAGTTGTTTGATCCTTATTTTGTTGGCTCGGACAGTTGTTAGAATGCGAAGTTAGAATTATATAGTTTTCGCGACAAATCCTCTGGTTGTGGACAACTATAGTGTAAGCTATAATAAATTCTCTTCAAGGCATTCATAGTGTATGAGTTTAGCACATATATAACCTTTGATTTTTAAAATTCGTTTTATGTATATAAGGAAGAGGAATATGATCTATAAACTGCAAGAAAACATGTTACACTGGGTCGATTACACTGCTGGTGCACATTTCGTCCCCTTGGGTATACACATCCTAGTAATATTATTGATACAGTCATTTTCTGTAAATCTATGGTTCATAAAACGTAAAATCACTCGAAACACTTCTAAACTCATCATAGATACCAGAGCACAGTTTTGTACGCCAGACGCGCGTTTTGTCTACAAAAGACTCATCAGTGACGCTCGAATAAAAAAAATAAGGTTTCTCTACAACCAGGCGTAGATGGTCTTATAGCCAGGTTTGGTACAACATTTTGGTTTTCAATGCTCTTCAACTTCTCTACTAGTATTCGTTATGATTTGGCCTTCCAACTGTTTTGATTCGAGAACCCATCAAAATCACTTGCACCCATTGTAAGTTTGAGTCAGATGCACATATTAAAATGGCTTTAATTTTCACGACGAACTTTCATTTTGCAGAGGCCATGCTAATTTCACATATTTACCAAGTAATTTAGTTAATGGTACTAAAATGTGATAAAAAGTTTCGTTGATATCCATCCATTCTCATAAATCTCACAAGTTCCTTCTTCTTTCATAGTGACTAAAAGTGAACAATCTCTTTACCTTCGACATATTGGGTTTTATTTGATCCTCGCATAACTATATAAAACTGCTTGGTTAAATTCCAATTTACCTAAGTAAATAGTACAGTTTCATCTGACAATTCAAATAAAATTGCATATATTAGATGTCGTTTCTAAGTATTACTATAAATAATGATGTTATCAATGTAGCCTGAACAACCTTTTTTTTTAATAGGCTTTGAAATATGGTAGAGGAGTTTTTCAATTGCCATTACTTTATATATTGATTTGGGGTACCAAGAGCAACCGCTTTCTTGCTTCTATTTGTGAAAGGATTGTCAAATTGCCAGTAACCCTTAAAAGGGTAAAATTTACTTACAACTAAAATTTTGCCTTCCCTATTTATCTTTACAACCGTCAACGCGCGGGAAAGACATAATCAAAATCCTTTTGAGTATATTGTGCTTTTATGGCATTAACTCAATGCGGTATTGCTGTTTTGTTTTAACCTTTAGTCTTAGTCGTTTGACGGAATGTACCAGGAAAATATAATTGTTGTGAACATGACACAATTAAAACATCAGCATTTAGTAATTTTATCATACCTCATGTTGGTACATTTTTTTGGCTGATAGAACAACTTTACTTTTTCAATTTGATATGCATTTTTCCTTCTTTAACATGGTTTAATCATATTGATATGTCACAAGTTTTTATTTTTCTTTTCGACGACAAGGAATATTTACAACAAAACAAACATCACTATTTTCAGCAGTACATCATATCATCTGTCCCATCGTACGACTGTTATATATCAAAACGTTACGCTCGTGCATGTTAACACTAAATTGACTCTATTAACGAGCCTCCTCATGGGGTTTTTGATTATGTGATTATTTGGCCATTTTTATAGTGATTATTTGATTACCAGACCAAATATTTCATGATTATTTGATAATCTAGGACTGTATTTTTGATTATTTGATTATCTTGTTGAAAAAAATAATTAATGATTATGTGATTATATTGGCAAAAAATTTGTGATTATATGATTACTTTGACACCCCCATGAGGGGCCTCATTAACAGAGTTGTGCTCCTTATACAAAAAAAAATGCTCCAACAGAGTTACGAGGAAGAACGAACGACTGAATTCGACACTCCATACGTGTTACCGTTACTATTACGAATTGGTTGACCGATACGATGTGTCTATGTCTCAACACACAAGCGACATGTGTTCGGTGTCGTTGGTTTTTTCAACCAGAATAGTCGTCTGATCTGAAATTTGACCGACTGAGTTCTTTCCCCGATTGTGACATTTTGCCTGACAGCAGACTCGTATGCATGGATAGCAGGAGACGTTTATCCTGTTCCGTACCCGGTCTCGCCTCTTTTTGAGTTCATGCGATTCCCTCATTGTGTTTGTTATTTTTATTTGTATCTTCATGATATTCAATTGATGAGATTTGAGAATATGTAAACTACTGTTGGCTAAATTTACCAAAACAAATGTTGGTTTTAATATTCTGAGTAAACCTTTTCGAAGCACACACCACAGTTAACATTAACTGGTTGTCAATTCTATCTTTGTTTATGATCTTACACTGTCTATACAGCCTATATCAACACTCGGCTAAATGGTTCATCAGTTGGTTGGTATTTCATTAAGAAGCGTTATAAGAAGTTGCTGATTTGGTTTTCTAAACATTTTACATGTTTGTTAGGATCTACAACATTCTACAACATCTTGTTTAAGTTTTGGTAAAACAAAAAATAATATTAGTTTCTCTGATAAATGTTTCATTTCCTCCTTGACTTTAAATTGAATTGCGCATTTAGTTAGCACAACTGTATAATGTAATTTTCTTTTTTCATATCTACAAGGACATCGGGGTTTTCCCCATTTCTCATCATGATTCCTGATTTCTTATAATACCAAACATTAAAGTTATCAATCTCATTTTCTTCTAGTACCACTGCTTTGACAATTATGGCTGACATCTCATTGTCTTGAGCAGTTTTAGTTGTTTCTGAGACAACGTTGAATGCTTTATAGTAAAGTGTCTAGATTTTTAATAAATGTACCATTGTCGTTATTCATAGCATTAATAAATGAGCTACATAGGTCAACTTCATTGTAAGTATCTTGGATATAAAAAAGATAAGGAAATGTGGTGCCGGGGATTGCCAATGAGACAACTTTTCGCAAAACCAAAAAACAAGGATGTGAACAACTGCAATTCATCATAGGGTCTTTTTGTAGAAGAAACATACATCTAAAGTTCAAAACTATAAGCCTGGTATCTTTGATGCTTATATCCTCAACAATACAAGACACACCCTAACCTCTTTGCAAACAATGGAAAAAATGTCTGTAGTATTGTCTTCTCAATTCTCAATGTTAACAAATGAGACTTCTCGTGGGATTCTTAAATCTTGAGAGCAACACGACGAATGACACAAGTGGAGTAGGAAATGATTGCCCTTTGTAGAATTTCCATTATGCATTTCCATTTACTAGAAACTTTCAAAGTCCCGATTTTTATTGGTATATTATAATTTGGTCTTTTTTATTAGCTTTTTGTTTACAAAATATTTGAAATATTAAAAAAATCAGAAATATACTTTTACAAGGTTTCATGGTTTATTCTATTTCAAAGGGAACTTTTATGTTTTCCTGTAAAAAATAATGTCTCTTGCTTCACTTCACTATATATAGGCATGAAAGAGGATAGTCCTGTTACCGCATAACTGAAAATTGTATAGTTTTGTTAGTCGCGTCTATCTCCTTGAGTTTGAATTAATTAAAGAATACTACGGGTACCGTATAGCTAGGTCTGCTTCATATCATGACTTGCGTGTATAAATTGACAGCGATGATAGGTTGAGAAACACACTGTACGACAAAAGAGATGACCTCAATATTCTCGATGTAGAGACAATTCAGCAACACTGGTTCATGTATGAGTATATATCTCCGATGTTTACAGGCGCCATCGTGACTTGGACGATCATTATGAAACCGTCCAGGTGTCACATATGATCACCGATAAGTTAGTTCGCTTTTCTTCGTCCTTTTACATCATATTAAGCGATTCTCACCGGAATTCTACTTGGTATATGAGTAACAAGATAGCTGCAATTAGTGGAGCAGGAACTCAGTGAGTTTAAAGCATAGTTATACTTATATATATTATCATAGCCAAAGACATATACATATACATGTGTGATCATTCTATGGCGGCCATCCCTTGGAGATTTAATTCCAAGAACTAGGAGAACACTGCATGGGAGTATTCATAGAGTGATAAAGTTTAAAAATCACTCCTTCTTGAGATTTTTCAATGTGAATCATAGTGAAAATCGGTGAGTGAGTATCTGTCTCACTGAATATATATGACATGTACAGGGTCGAAGGTTCACCTAGTCACATGTCTGTAATCGCATTTTCACAATGATTCATTAAGCAGCAGAATTCGAGATTTTTAACTAAATTACCTTGAGTGTAATGTGTGCTTAGACAATATAGACATACCGGTAACACTGACTCCATGTTTTCCAAGCGCACAGACACGTGTATTCAAAATAACTTAACACCAAAAATACACTATTTCTAAAATCATTTTTGTTGATGGTTATAATCTATTTACAAATAGTATGAAATTATAGTGAAGTCAATATTAAAATTAATTATATTAAAGTTTAAAGAAGTATTTTGGATGACATTGATACCAAGCATTCGCTAAGATTTTTTTTCGTTCACCTTTTTTCGCAAAATAATTGAAGATCTTTCTTGTGCTTTGTTGCGTGTACTGTAATATGGGTCTTTGCGCTACCTTTTCATTCGGAACATTTCGATAGTTATCAAACGGTTAGAAAATTTTAGAGGGAAAAATGGCAACCGACGAAAGTGGCCAGTCTTCTGCTCGAAAAGAAGAAACACAAGATGAAGATTCAGCTATTTCAATGCTTGAAGTTTTGCAGGAGCAAGAAGAATTAGAAGCAGATGCAAATGCTGTCTTGGGAGACAGCGATGCTATTAACTGCACTTACGTATTGGTGCGTAGTTAAGGTTCATCTAGACACTTCCACAAAAAATGGCTGTTTACACCATGAAATTTTCTCTGAATGCAGACAAAACTGTGTAATTCTAATAGTTTTAAATCCTGGCAGCCCCTAGATATATACAAGTTGTATTCATTTTGTGTTTTAAAAAGAAAAAAACTTTTTTGTGGATTTTGCTAAACATTTTCTTTCCTTGTCACAGGTGGTGTAAAAATAAACAGTCATGTGAAATCTTTGAGATGGCACCCCTCAGGTAATGATTGTATTGTATCATATTGATTGATATGGACAATAGAAATCTACTCACAACAAAGGTGATTTAAATAGTGTAAATGAGTGGACTGTATCAAAGAAAAAACTTGGGTGTTTTTTCATTTCACCATCTTCTGTGGCAAGCAAAGAAAATGTTCATCAAAATCCATAAAGTGTTTTAACTTTTTAGAACATAAATTGGATGTAACATTAATTGATAATGTTTCAGAAATGAAGTAAAAAAAATAGGGGGAGTGACATATACATTTTTTGTACAGGTATGACATTGAGTTTCAAATTTGCTGTACCTTTTCAGGCTTTTGAAATATATCTAGTTTTTTTTGTGGATAAAATCAAGAAAGAAATTGCTGTCTGCCAAGTCGACTAATACATGTATATGCCTTTAAATTATTTGACTGTGACGGATAAACTATAATCAGTCTGCTTCCAAATAAAACATGTAAAAGATAGATTTGGGTGTACATGTACATTGTTCATTTTGTTGTATATATACATATATATATATGATATTTATAAGACTAGTCACTCAAATGGGTTAAATTAAATGCTAAAATTTTTATTTGAGCTTTTAAGGGAAATATTACAAAGTGCAAGTGGTTACATAAAAGGCATCCACCTTTGGTTAGCAACTTTTCTGAATACTTTATTTTATGAGAATGATCCCCCAAAAGATGATAGTATTCAGACATGTTTAAGCTAAGAGATCAGTCTTGCAACTTATTCATATTCTGGGAAAGTGGCTATTCATAAGTTGAAACTGTTGATCTACCTTGTGTAAATATAAAACATGCACTTTTAATTTTTTTTTCTTCAATCAAAAAAATCTATATGTTTTGCAATGTAAATTTATATCCCATTTGGGCTATTATTTACCAAAGTGTTGTTAAACATGTAACCCATTTGAGTGACTGGTCTGTTAAAAATGTATTGTCACTCAATTGGTAACAAATGTTTGTCTGAGCATCACAACATACATTCATTGTTTATGTAAATTGTAATAGGAGGCAGGTACATATTGAATTTCTTGATAAATTCCCCAAAGTTAATGGTTTTTAACAATTTGACTTTGCATGTGTTCATTATGAATAAAATACACGTTTATCACAGTATATATGTCAGTGCTCCAGCTAGAAATTGAAAGGGGCAGGGTGCCAGTGGAGGGCAGGGCACTTTTTTAGGTTAGGAAAAGGCAACTCATTTTTATACGACCAAATTTTGCGGTCATATATTGGTATGACGTTGGCTTCGTCGTCGTCTTCCTAAGACACATTGGTTTTCGCACTCTAACTTTAGTTTAAGTGAATAGATCTCTATGAAATTTTACCATAAGGTTCAATACCACAAAAGGAAGGTTGGGATTGATTTTGGGGGTTATGGTACCAACAGTTAAGGAATTAGGGGCCAAAAATAAGCTTTTTTGTAACTTCCAAACAATAACTTGTGTTCAAGTGTATGGATCTTTCTGAAATTGTACTGCAAGGTACCATACCACAAAGGGAAGGCTGGAATTGATTTTGGGGGTAATTGCCTCAAAATTTCAGGAATTAGGGGCAAAAAAGGGGCAAAAAAACAAGCATTTTTCTAGTTTCAGGACAATAACTTGTGTGTAAGTGTATGGATCTTTATGAAATTATACTACAAGGTTCCATATCACAAAGGGAAAGCTGGGTTTGAGTTTTGGGGTAATTGCCCTAAATGTTTAGGAATTGGGGGGCCAAAAAGGGGCCAAAAAACAAGCATTTTTCTAGTTTCCAGACAATAACTTGTGTTCAAGTGTATGGATCTCTCTGAAATTGTACTGCAAGGTACCATACCACAAAGGGAAGGCTTGGATTGAGTTTGGGGGTGATGAATCATAAGGGGGTTCAGAAAATTGGGGGGGGGGGTTCCTTTTTTTTTCTTTTCCATTTTAAATTGGTTATTTCTGATTTATATATAAAAGCAAATAATAATGATATGGTTTGAATAGGTAAATTATATTAAGTTCTTAGACCACGTTCATTCTGTGTCAGAAACCTATGCTGTGTCACATATTTAATCACAATCCAAATTCAGTGCTGTATCAAGCTTGAATGTTGTGTCCATACTTGCCCCAACTGTTCAGGGTTCGACTTCTGAGGTTGTATCAAGCTGCGCCCAGCGGAGCATTTTATTTTTTTTTGTGTCGTTTCTGTGTGTATCCGTCTTGTTTCGCATTGTTTTTTTTTTACAATAAAGATGTATCATAAGTTGTTGTTTTGATTATTTATTCTATAAAATTTGCATTAAATATATTATAAGTGATTCATACATTGTCATTATACATAGCAATACACATTCAGACCTCACATGAATAATAAAAACACTACGAAATAAAAATAATAAAACGTGAATGTAGATACAGCACTATTATTATACCCCACGCAACGAGTTGCGGAGGGTATAATGTTTTTGACCCGTCCGTCTGTCCGTCCTTCAGTCCTGTTTCTTGTCATCGCAACTCCTCTCAAACCACACAACAGAATTTCACGAAACCTTTTTAGATAATAAGGACATACTATGTAGTTGTGCATATATATCGACAGGAAATAACGATTCAATTCTTTTTCTAGGAGTTACGCCCCCTTGAACTTATTTACTTTAATGTACAACTGCAACAGTTTGTCATCGCAACTCCTCTCAAACCACACAACAGAATTTCATGAAACCTATTCAGATAATAAGGACATACTATGTAGATGTGCATATCGACAGGAAATTACGATTCAATTTTTTTTCCAGGAGTTACGCCCCTTTGAACTTATTTGCCCAATATACTACTGCAACCTTTTGTCATCGCAACTCCTCTCAAACCACACAACAGAATTTCATGAAACCTTTTCAAATAATAAGGACATACTACGTAGATGTGCATATCGACAGGAAATTACGATTCAATTTTTTTTCCAGGAGTTACGCCCCTTTGAACTTATTTGCCCAATATACTACTGCAACCTTTTGTCATCGCAACTCCTCTCAAACCACACAACAGAATTTCATGAAACCTTTTCAGATAATAAGGACATACTACGTAGATGTGCATATCAACAGGAAATTACGATTCAATTTTTTTTTCAGGAGTTACGCCTCTTTGAACTTATTTGCCCAATATACTACTGCAACCATTTGTCATCGCAACTCCTCTCAAACCACACAACGGAATTTCATGAAACTGTGTAGATAATAAGGACATACTATGTAGATGTGCATATTGACAGGAAATTATGATTCAATTTTTTTTCTGATACAATTTTTTTTTCTTACACTTATTTTATTTCTCCAATGACAATGTGGGGTATGTGAGCGCGCTCACTAAGGTTCTTTCATTTCAACAGTTCTAATGTTCAATTGTTCATAAGTTTCCTAACACAGAGAGTTGATCCTTCTGTCTTTGGCCTTAAAGAACTGTGTAACTGTAGGTTGAAGTAAGCTAGCAAACATTGTGTCATCACAGTTCAATTTTACATTTAGTAGTTGGTTTAATGTTCTGGTCTTCATGCTGTTTCTGTGACTGGTCTTAATAAGTTTCACCTGTGAGAAAACCGTCTCCACCTCTGCTGTACTAAGTGGAAGTGTGTTAGCCACACTTAGAAGTCTGTATACCAAGTGATAGATGTCTTTGAGTCCTGTGACTGTGGAGTTGTGAAGAAGCTGTAGTAATTTTGTCATTGACCTATCCTGTGCTGTCAGGGTGTTCAGTAGTTGAATGAAGTATTGCCATTGTGTCTGTAGTTCTTCTGGGTCCATTGAGAAGTGGTCTGCTAGGCTGAACATCTCATTGAACCCATAAAGTGCTGGGAGTTCATCAGGTGTACCACTCAAATCAAGCACTGAAAGCTGGTCAATGATGTCTGTGTTAACAAATCTGTCTTGAATGTTGTTAATCAATTTGGTCAGGAATGGTTCTTTGACTTTTGTGTTGAAGTCAGAGCTTGATGATGTTGTCAGTTGTAAATCTGATGACATCTGTGAGTACTTAAGCTGCCATGGCCCATCTTGAGTTTGTCTGGTTTCCAGCATCCTGATGGTTTTGTCTACTGTAGTTTTTACCATGCCATGGTTCATATCCCTACGTTGAAATACAGTGATAGGGCAGCTATGTGTGGTAGCATGTCTGCAAGTAGCAATAGGGATCTCAGTGTGGTTGGGTCTTTAAGGCTTTTCAAGATGCCATTACCAACTGGGTCAGTGCTGATTTCTGTTGTTTCCAGGTTTACAACAATAGATTTGTAGGATCGTACTATGCTAGAAACTGCCTGATCATGAGATAACTATCTGTGATGTTTGGCTTGTTTTATTGCTAGAGGTGCTTGGTTAAAAGCAGCTTGTACCATCTTCAGACTTGTGGTATGGACACAACTGTACTTGTAATATTTGTATATTTTTTCTTAAGTTCGTCTGTTTTTTTGTAAGTGGTACAGAGTTAAAGCTGTCCCTACAAGCCAGTGCCAATCTATGATCTCTGCAGTGGTTTGTTATCATTGCTGGGTTGTGGTCTTTTAGTTTTTTTTGCTACACCATTCTTTTTACCTATGAATACAGCTGCACCATCGGAGGCAAAACCAGACATGTCACTTATAAGAAGTTCTTTTTTGTTGATTTTGGTTATTATTGAGTTTGTAACTGTCTCTGCTGTTGCATTTGGTAACTCTGTATCGACTAAAAATGCTGTCTGCAGTTGTCCTGTTTGGTTGATGTATTCGAACAGAGAGCTAGGTGTTAATAGATCGGTTGTCGGACACCTCATCTACCATTAAAGAAAAACATGGACTTGATTTTACATTGTTTGTAACCGTGTCGGAGACTTGCTCACTGAGAAGTAGCTCGTGTACTATTTCCCAACTTGAGTATGTGGCATTCTTTGCTAACCGGAGGTTTGGTAAGTTGGTAGCACCAAGTTCAATTCAGAGATCTATCATGCTGTTGAAGTGGTCAAGTGGCAAGTTCTTGCTAATTAAGTAGTACATAACTTTGAGTGCATCAACAATGGCTTTCTGGGCAGAAGATGTGATGTTGTTGGACATGTCGTTGACAGTCTGATTAAGTTCCAAGGAGAGTAAATGTTTATGCTGATCACTGTCTTGATGCTCTTTGACCTTGTCACGACCAAGACACTTGTAACCAGTCTCAGACCAAGCCTTGTTACCATTAAAACCATAGGACTTTTGTTTCTGACAAAACTTGCAGAACAAAACATCATAAGTGTTGTCATCATCATCAGTTTCTGTGGCGAAATTTAACCAAGAGAAGACAGCTATCCAAGATTTGTTAACCCCAATTTTATGACCACTTGCGTTTCTGGTACGAGACGAAGTAGTAGTAACATTGTCTTCTGTAGATGTTGTCTCAATAGAAGGTGCGGGAGGAGTCTCGGTAGATGTAGTTTCTGTGATAAAATAACGTAAATGAAATGGAAGAGATTGTACTTACTTATATAAATATAACATAATTTGCATTTATTAAAAATTTAAATGTTCACTAAGAATGATTTGTATTGAAACACCACAGCATAAATGCCGACTTATTTCCAATTTTTGAAATTGTGAAAAAAAGGTCTTTTCTTATAATTAAAGTTATAATTCATAGATTTCGCCGTATAAAGATTATTCCTCATATAAGTTATAATATCAGTAACTGGCGTATTTTCCCACTTGTGTACGATTCGAATGGCTTAAATACGATTTTTTTTAAAATGTTTACTACAACTCCCTAAATTTTCAAGAAATAAATAGTTTTAATTTTATTTGAGAAAAATTCGGCTTCAAAATTAGATAGATCGAAATTAAACGTCGAAAAATACAACTGCAAAAATGAATTGTCCCACATCTACATTAAGTTATTTTAAGCTTCCATAGCTATTTTAAGTCATGTCAAAGGTCATGACCCAAATGGTTACATTTTACCTAATATTATACTTTCCAAAAAATAGGCGATCATTGAATAACAGCCAGTGATAAAACTACATTTCAATAGTTAAAAAAAAAACACAATTACCAAGTTGAGTCTTTGTTGAAGAACGATCTGATAGAAGAGTTTGTCTTTGCTACTTTCTGCTTGTCACTCACAAGTTGAGATTGACGACGTTTCTGGGAAGGCATTTTTATTTTAATGATTTTAAATCTATTCGAAAGTTACATTTATAGCTATTTCGATCTGAGTTTTAGTTCTGGTGGTGAGATCAAAAATGCCGGCTGAGAGCACTCAGGGCGCGGCGCCCTTCTATTTTGGGCTAGCGAGACCACTGTATGTATAAACACCATTAAAACGTTTAAACCCGCTGCATTTGTTTGCACCTGTCCTAAGTCAGGAATCTGATGTTCAGTAGTTGTCGTTTGTTGATGTGGTTCATAAGTGTTTCTCGTTTTTTATATAGATTAGACCGTTGGTTTTCCCGTTTGAATGGTTTTACACTAGTAATTTTTGGGGCCCTTTATAGCTTACTGTTCGGTGTGAGCCAAGGCTCCAGTCCATGTTGAAGACCGTACTTTGACCTATAATGGTTAACTTTTTTAAGTTTTGACTTGGATGGAGAGTTGTCTCATTGGCACTCATACCACATCTTTTTATATCTATATTTAATTTGAAATAACAACCAAATAGTTTTCATTATTGGGGAAAAACAAGAAAATTAGTTAGCTGCATTGTATCATGGCTAAAGTAACAAAATAAAGTTGGTGATTTATTAAAAATCCAGAAAAAGCTTACCACAAAATTTTAAGAAAAAATCAGTGGTATGACTGGATAGGCTGCTAGGTCTTCAAAATGTGTATTCATGGTAAAAACACCATTCTGAAGAACACCAAGAATATACATATTTATCAGTATTAAAATCAGGCCTCTACAATAAATTTTTTTTCAACTTGTCCAGTAGGACAAGTACATACAAAAACTTACTTGTCCGAATGAAATTGTAACTTGTCCAAAAAAAATCTTAATAATAACCATTTTTGCATTTCAAGTTGATTCAAGGAACAAAATGAATTAAAACAAAAGAACAGAATTTGATATATATCTTTTGAAATACTTTACAAAAATATGAGTCGAGAACAACTGAATCTAGTCATGTCACAGGACTTAGGTTCTAGCTTCCTTCAGTGCCAAAGTCTCATCAGACTCTGCACATGAGGCACCGTCTGATAAGCCTGTCAATGTACACTCATTGGATTTGTATCTTGGTTTTAAGGTTGAAAAAAGTTTTTTCAAATGCAATTAATAAAAAAAAGAAGATGAGGTATGATTGCCAATGAGACAACTCTCTGCAAGAGACCAAATGACACAGAAATTAAAAACTATAGGTCACCGTATTGCAAGTATTGTTTTTTTTCTACAAATGATCAAATATGATTTTGTGAATTTTATGGTAAATAATTTCTTCATTTTTATTTAAAAAAATATTTTTTGTTAAAAAAATTACCGGTATGGTATTTATTATAAAGCAACAGAATAAGTTCGGAAAACGAGGTACTGATTTGTCTTGGTCCCGAAATGTCTCCTGCGTTGCCAAACTGTCTATTAATCATGTCTATTAAATATGTTTCCTACGGTGCCAAACTGTCTATTAAATTTGAAGCTGAATCTTTTTCGGAGCTACAAAGCGCATGGCTGATTCGGATCAGTAAGAGGGTTTTACTAATGACTGGACCGAATGACACCCTCAGTAAGACTGGTTTCCGAGAAAAGTATGCCTTTTACCTCTAAAAAAGTACCTGACAAAGAACCAGTTTTAAAGTATCGATTGCAAGTAAACATGTCAAATTAATATTTGTTTTTATCTTCTTTTCTTGTTTTTTGTTTATAATTACTTTGTTCATCCAAGTTGGATTAAATTTATTTTCTGCAGAATAATTTTACTTGTCCCGTCGGACAAGCTTGATATAGCTTTTACTTGTCCGACCTTTTTTTCCTCTGGTACCGGACAATCGGACAAGCGTTATTGTCGAGGCCTGAAAATACATGCAGATATTTCATTAGATCTTAGTGATCATGCTACTATTATATTTGTCTATTTACATGTACATCCTTTCAATAAATATCTGGCAAATTAGAATATTATTTTTTTTTAATTGTGACAACACTAGGATCAAGTTGCAATATTCCAATCTCATTCAGTATTTTTGTATGAATTGAAATGAAACATTTAAAGTTAAACATTTGGACATTTGTTATACTGTAACTATAATTAATACCATAAGGTGAAAAAAACATATTAGTTTATGACCCTGTCATATATTTATTAATTACAGATCAGTCTGCACCATTAGCCACTAGTCCAATGCCCCAGACTGGTAAAATTTTATTCAGACCAGAAAGTATTTGCAAAACTTTGTTTAGACACATAAGAAAAATGTCTGAATATTGGTCTTCAGACTACAAATGTAGGAGTTGGAAAAGATTTTGGTGCAGACTGACAGATTGGATCCCATAAATGAATCATGTCCCCCCCTACTTACACACAACTACCAAACTGTTATTAAAGTATCTTTCAGCTCCCTGTTTGATGATAATCAGATTTCTTCATCAGCCCTTGAATACATGTTGATAATGTTCTATTCAACACAATTCATTTTAATTATGTTTTTTTTCCAGGGCTATGTACCAAGACAAGCTTTGTATGCCTGTATGACATGTAACACAAGTGAACCATCTGGAATTTGTCTTGCCTGTAGCTATGAATGTCATGATGGCCATGACTTAATAGAACTATATACTAAAAGGTACAATGTTTTTTTTTTTTTAAACAGTCAATTTTTCTAGAAATAACTATTTTTCATAGTCTGTGTTTACACATGTATTAACATTCATTACTGCATTTAACTTGGTACAATATAAATGTGTGTGCCCATAATTTTCATAACAGTAAAGGTGCAATTAACTGCATTTAAAGAGGGTTTTCTTATGAATATGCTTTATTCATATTGATAGCGCTAACGCTGATTATTTAAAATCAAGTTCCTGTCTGATATAAAAGCAGGAAAAAAATGATGTACTTCTAAATATATTAGATGCCAATATAAAATTTTATTGATATTTACACTTTTTAAAAGTTTTAAGTACATATACAATAACATATCTATACTTCTAAAATAATGAGGTCCGATTTGTTAGCTGGCATGATGTTAAAATGATGAATCAAAGAATTCAACTTTATATATAACTATTAACTAATGTTGGACAATGGTGGTGTTTAAAAATTACACCATTCCAGGCCCTTTCGTTTTCCACATAATTAATATTACATGTACTAATAATTAACCAGTTCCGGGTCAAATCCGTTTCTGCTACAAATAGTATTTGTCACCTGCTGTAAATCCCTCCTCTACCAGGAGAACCTGGAATTCTTCCAGTAGTTGTTTTATATTTATGTTACACTATAGTACACTATTTAACAAGTCTGTTTTCTTCCACCTCAATACCACTATTAACTTTAATAAATTAGGTAAAAGAATTAAATTTAGTTAATAGTAAGTTTATTGTAGGAAGAAAAACAGGATGGGTCCAAACAGAAAGATTTCAAAAGCAGAGAAAACTCTGCACCTTACAATCAGCCTGACTTTTTCAGATGACAATGAGAATACTAAAAAATCCAGGCTAAAAATAAGTCATAGGTACTTTAATTCAGTCACGGGTGTGTACTAGTATGTTGTATAAAATGCAATACAATTGGTAAATTAAAAGGTTGACGGTTACTTTTGCTTGTTTTATGTTACTCTATGATTCATTATATTTTTACACTTTGATAGGAATTTTAAATGTGACTGTGGAAATGGTAAATTCAAAGACCTGACATGTCAGTTGTATGAGGTGAGACACATCTAGGCTTAAAAAATATTCTATTGTAAGAAAACTTGACAGTGTATTGAACATACTTAAGGCCAACCTTAAAAATATGTTTGTTTGCAGATTTCCAACTGTACCTTCAGACTGAAGGGTCGGTAGGTAGGAAAAATATTTTATTTTATCAGCCAAAAAGTTTAAACAAGCAGTACACAAACCAAGTTTCTTGTTAAGAAAAAAAACTATTTTAAAACAACAAACACTGAAAACCAACATGAAATGAACAGGCATTGTCAGATAAAATTTTTTTTTTAACCAAAACTGAAACTATAACAATTTTTAATTGTCCAATTTATGACATAAAATATGGTATTATTAAATACTGAAACACTTATAAACAAGAAATGACTAGAACTGTTTTAAAGAAATATATTCACTGACATATATGCTTCTTGACTAGAATGTTTTCATGAGTAGAGTATTTTCATCAGAAAAATGTAGATATTAAAGATTTCATGATAAGACAATGTATTAAAGAGTGTATTTTTAATATAAAAAAAATTAAGCTATTGAATCTTCCTCAATTGAAAAAAAAGGCAACTTAAAAAAGACTGTTTTCATATTTCTAACAATATTTAATTATATGTAATAAGGTTATATTTTGAAAGATACGGTATGTTGATGCCAGGCTTAAATGAAAACAAAAGAAAACTTACTAGTTTGGGGTGAAATCCATAGCACCCCATTAAAGTAAATGATCTGTGCTGAAATGTTTTGACTGCATAAAAAAAAATGGCAGCATAGCTCCTAAGAACATGTTTTCGAACAGCGGTATACTACTGTTGCCTTTATTTAATTAAATTCACACAGGCCACAAAGTTTGGGTATATTTAATATAGTAAGAGAATAATTGCAATGAGTGGTGCAGAACCCCCACCCCCCTTAATCCTAAAGGAGCATACTCATTGCAATCGAAGATAGATTTTATATAGAGAGAATATATTTTATTTATTTTTCAAGCTAATCATTCATGTTCTCTACATCTTTGTGTAGTTTGGGTTGCTTCTCATTGATATGGCATGGTCTATATCCATTTACATTTCTCCGCACAGGCATGTTTACAGGTATCCATAAATTAATGTAGGAGTGATTTCATCTTTGTCTTCTTCACAACGATTTATAGAAAATATGACATACTTCAAGCTGCTGTCGAATTGTTTAACCACTAAAATTGGTTCCATAAAGTCAGGCTCAAAAGATTCTGTACCCGATTTGTTTGAGACAGAAAGTTGAGAAAGAAGAGTTATCTTGTCGGTTGTGAATATCCACTACATCTTCTTCAATGATATCATCAAAGACATCATTCCATGTGCCTGAATCTGTATAAACAGTTTACTATTAAACTTTTTTGTTTGTTATTTGTCTTAAAATTGATAGAAGTCGACAGCGTAAAGTACTCCTCCATAACTTCATGGATACCTGTAAACAATTTCCACATGCTTTTTCATTAGACGGTCACATGAATGCTTGACGGGAAGGCTAGAAAAACCGAACTTAAAACGTGTAATCGACCTAGACTTAAATCAATTCCGGAAAGGACCCAAATTTCCGGATCTCGTCAATAGAAGTATTAAAAATAATTTCTACAAATTTAAAGCAATAAAATTTTCAAGGGTTGGTCGGTAAACTGCAAACAAACAATATTTGAATTTAAGCCTAAGGCATCTTCAGCACATTTTAGAATCACTGCCATCGTATGTTACTATTTACATTGTAAGTAAGATAAATACTTTAAAAGGTCTGTCTAATTTTCACTAAAAAAATATTAAGACGTTTACATTACATTTAAAGGTCCTGATCCTCAAAGCATTGATGTGTAATGTACAATGAATATGAGATTGAACTTTATAATAGATCACACTTTGAACATGATGAATAAAAACTACAAAAAAAATGTATACATTGTATATATGATCATTGAACTAAATATACTAATGGTACCTTGTAATCTTCTCAGTACATGCTTTTGTTTTGTTACAGAGAAAATCGGAGTACAATGTAGATAACCGATACAATCACAACTTTAGAGGGATTTACTGTGTATGTGACAGACCATACCCTGATCCAGATGATGATGTAAGAAATCTAAATCTATTGACAACTATTAAATTTGTTCACTTTCCCGTACATTCCCTTTTTGAATATGCTTATTTTATTACGTCAAAGTAAGAACCGATTGTTCAATGAAGTCATTTATGCTGATTGACCTCAGGTCAACCATTGTAACTCATTCATAAAAAAAATTCAAAATTGGTCTATAGAATAAGTATTATTTCAAGTTTTCAAATTTCAACAAGTAACATATTTGCATTTATAATTTTTATACTGCCGTAATCGGCCTTGTATAGTTTGCACTGGTACATAGTTACATAGTCTGCACACCCCCCCCCCCCCCCCCCCCCCCCCCTTTAACTGTTAGAAAACGTCTAATGTCATAATGATACTATGGTAATTTCAAATCGTGTGTGATCGTTTGCGGTATTTTCATGGAAAAACATGTTGTCCATCATTAAATAGAAGTTGAAAATGCTTGTTAATCATTCTCAAACACTTCAAGAGTGTTAAAATAAGTCAAAATCACAGGGAAAAAAAAATTAGAATCTTGTGAATGTTTAAGTCGGAAGTTCGAATAGCACGTGGAAATGAAAATAAATACGGTGAGAGTGTACAGAAAATCTGACTTCATAGATATCCCTAGAATACGACTTTGTAAGTAAATCAGTTCCATCCTTGAGTAAAAAAATGTTTAACATATCTATCACATTAATGTTTGAAGGATCTTAAGCTAAAACAAAAGACATGCATCAGTATGAAACACCAAAACGGAACGAATAACCGATTACGTTTTGTAGTTTATACATTGTTATGCATAAGCTAATTCCCGTTTGACTTTTACACTTATTTCGTTCCATCAAATTCAAGCAGATTCCAGTTTATTTTAAGCAACACAGTGAAAAGAAAAGAGAAATTTGTAGTGAAGCATTTAATTTTGAAATTTAACAGTTTATATTTGATATTGAATAAAAATTACATATTAATATGGATTAGGTAAAATTATTAGTTTTGAAAAAGATGAGAGCGCCCTCTACAATTTCAATAACAAACATGGCGGAATGCAAACAAACCTAGCGAAATCGAATTTTTTCTCTTATTTCTGGCTTATCGTACTCTGTCTGGCAGGTTCAATTTTGGAGAATAGAACCGCAGACTATACAAGCCTGAATTCAGTATGTGGCATTGCAGTATAAGAAACATGATGATGTATTACCAAAAGTAAGTATCAGTATTGGCATTTGCCATAATACTTGATGATTTTGTGACTATACCATGCAAAGAATGTGCTGCAAATATTACATGCATATTCAGGACAATAGCATGTTAATGTGAAATGAAGATGCCCTGCATTGTGATAGACTGACACCCTGAGTTTTGAGCTTTAAAGTGCTAGTTCAAAAGGTAACAGTTTGCAGGAAGACATTTCATCCTACTGGGGCACATTAATCTGAAGTCTCAGCTGACCAGTCTTTGCTCTTGTTTTTAATACTTAATAGGAAAACAGCATTTTCCAATTTTAAGCATTTGACCTGAAATAGATAAAGTATAGTGAACAAAAAGTTAAAAGGGTAAATTGTAAGCTGCATAGCTGACAGATTTGAATGTTTTTCTTGTAGGTAGAGGATGAAATGATTCAGTGTATAATGTGTGAAGACTGGTATCATGGAAGGGTAAGATAAGATCATTTTTCATATAGATGTTGTATGATTGCAAATGAGATAACTTACTACCAGAGACCAAAAAAAAACAAGGATGTAAACAATTCAAGGTCACAGCTGCCCTAAAACAATAAGCAAAACCCATACCCCACAGCAAGCTATAAAAGCCTCAACATTGCAAAATGCAAAACAAATCAAAAGAAGAAACCAAGAGCCTGATGCATGCTAAAAACAAATGAAAAACAGACATGCTAGACAGCAACAATCAACAACCATTGAACCATAGGCTCCATTGGCTCTCTAATTTGCTTAAAATTAAAGTTGTAACTATTAAAGTTCAGGATTTGTTTGAATCAATAAAGGAAATATTTGTTTTTCTCTAAACTATGATGTATTAAGATAATTTGTATATTTGTATTTGCATTTACTTTACATGTTAAATCAAAATTAAAGATCTTGATATTGTCCATCAACTCAAGACAAAATTATATTGTTATTGAGAATTAAAAGAAAAACTTTTTAGGAAATGTGTAGGTATTTAATGAAGAAAAGGGTGCATTATCTATTTTATTGAACTGTGTTTCAAAGTATTTTTTTCATTTAGTAAAACCTGTGAGAATTTTTAACTACTGGTCCATTCAGATGATTTAAAATTTCTTAATCTTTCTGAAGTTAGATGATTGATTCTGACAGAATTGCTATTATAGTTTATACTTTTATTTTCTAGCATCTAGGTTTTGATGATTTACCTGATAACAATGTTGGAACAGAGATGGTTTGTAGAGGATGTATGTCCAAACATGATTTTCTTTGGGCCTACACAGTACAAAGTTTAGGTGATTAAAAACTGTATTGAATTGCAGGAATATTCAGACTCAAATATAATTGAGACAAACGTGTTAATTTAGATATTATTACATGTATTATTATTAATATGTATTATTGCATATATTTATTTTTGCAGTTGTTGCTCAAAGGTTGAAATTGTGAGATTTGATAATGCAATGATGAGTAAAGCTGAATTCAAATAAAATTTCAGAATTGAAGATGTCAGGTCTAATAAATGCTATTCTAATCATGTTTAATAAATTTTTGTCAATTTTTTTGCTGAATTTTAAAACTTAGTTATTTATATGGACAAAAAACAGTTACAAGCACTGATATAGGTTACTTTTTTTTTTATATAAAAATACACCATCTAGCAGAGCTATACTCTCCCTATATTGTCTTGGTCAGGTGGCTGGAAAGTCATTACATTGAAACTGGCATTAAAAATTAATTCAGAATTGTTTATTTCAGAAACACAGAAACTGACATCTGGAGAAACTTCAAACAGTATTGATGTTGCAAGTGGTGGAAATGACAATGCAAAGGCTTCTAAAACAACTGGAGGAAAACATTCACCCGCCAAAAGAAAGAAAATTGAACAAGTTAGTATATGAGGTTTCTTACATAAGGTTTGATGCAGGTAAAAAAAGAACATAGGACCAATATCGATAAAACAGCCACCCAACAACTCACAGTAACAAAAAAAAATCTGGATATCATGATATGGCCTTCTGTGATTATCACAGACTGAATCTAATTGCAAGAGTTTGAATGTACTTGTCAGTGATGAATACTTAACATGCAGAGAACAATATTGCTAATAAGTTCAATGTATGGTTGAAAGTACATAGATGTAATGGGAAAATTAAAATTTTTACCTGAGTGTTAACGATGTATCAATTTATCCAAATATTTGTTAAAAGTTAGGTGTTTTTGTTTGGTTGATAGATAAGATTTTTATGCCCCTGCTCGTCACGGGAGGGGGCATTAAGTGTAACCCTTGTCTGGCCTTGCGTACGGATGTTCCGAATTTGGTTTCCGTTCTCTAACTTTAGTTTGCCTCAACCAAATGTTATGAATGCTTATTACCAAAAAACACAGATCAATTTCAAATTAGGGTGGCGTCACTTTTATCGTTCTCGAGAAATGCCCCTTTATGACGTTATATGCAAGTGGGGGCATTATCTGTGTTCCTTGACCCATTCTCAATTTATTTTTTAATTACTCTTCCATTTCAATGTCCTACCTCCAATAATAAGGGACATTATTTTTTCTGATTCATTCATCTGCGTCAAGATGCTCAATGTATTTCAGGTAGATGGTAATGGTAGCCTTTTTCCTCGAATCCTCTACTCATATCATAAACTTAAATATGTATGATGGCACGTTTGGAAGCTGAGAGAATTTCACATATGTGGTTAAATTTTCAGGGTACGAAGTGAACGTCATTTTCCCATAATTTCACTAAAAATTCTTTGACAATTTAGTTCTTCACATACATTTAATAACTCCATAGTTTTTGTCTCGCCTTGACAGAGTCGAAAAGCGAGTCGTAGGTATGCTGTTTCCGGCATCGATGGCGGTGGCTGCGTCAACAATGTATTAGTTTGTGATTAGGTCTAGTTCATGGTGAACCACTAGTGGTAGGTCACTGATATTTGGTATGCAGTTGTATTAGCATTGGCACATCTCATTACCATGGAGATTATTTGGCCCCGCCCCCTCAGTCAAGGTCTATTGATTTTGAAACTTTTCATAGTTTACATGTATTAGTTTGTGATTAGGTCAATTTATGGGGAACCACTAGTGGTAGGTCAAAGATATTTGGTATGCAGTTATATAAGCATTGGCATATCTCCGCCCCCTTAGTCATGGTCTAAAGACTTTGAAAATTTTGCTTAGTTTACATGTATTAGTTTGTGATTAGGTCAGTTCAAGGGAAACCATTAGTGGTAGGCCAATGTTAATTGGTGTTCGGTTGTATAAGCATTAGCACATCTCATTTCCATGGAGAATATTAATCCCCGCTCCCTCAGTCATGGTCTATTTACTTTGAAACTTTTGCTTATTTTACATGTATAAGTTTGTGATTAGATCAAATTAAGATGAACTGCTAATGTTAAGTCAATGATATTTGGTATGCAAATTTATTGGCATTTGCAAGTATCGTTTCCATGGAGATTATATAGCCCCACCCCTGATCATGGTTCATTGACTTTGAAACTTTAACATAGTTTACAAGTTAATGTTTGTGTTGAGTTTGTTTAAAAGGAACGACTTATAATAAGTCAATGGTATTTGGTATGCAGTTGTATTAGCATTGGCACATCTCATTCCATGGAGATTGTTAAGCCATGTACCTTCAGTCATTGTTCATCGACTTTGAATATTTGCATAACTTACATGTTAAAGTATTGCTATTTTAATTTCAACATTTGCATTATCAAAACAAAAAGGCGAGACATATCTCTGTGATAACAGTTTATTACACCTTTATTCTATGGGCCTCTGCTCTGTAAATCATCACAAATGATTAAGCTCAGTCACTTGTTAAAAATTTAAACATGTCCAATATCACTGCACAGAGATTTTTTGTTTACATACTATTTTTGAGTGCCTCAATTTAAGGCGCCGCATATTAGGCATATTGACCCATCTGTACAACTGTTAATCAGTTTTATTTGTTATGTGGCCTCAGGTTAAAGTTGGTTTAAGATTGTTTACCATGAAATTGTGGTCACATCAAATTCAGACTAAGTATGCATGTTCATTATGAATTAAACTTTTAAAGCCAAATTAGAGTCTTAACCAAGGTTTCAGTTTACAGAACCAAGGATACGGTAACGGTCTAATTTGCCCGACTAGTTCTAATCTGAAAGGCCTATGACTGTGATGGTATTTGGGATTCAGGTCATAAAGATTTTCAGTTATTTCATTGAGGTCAGGTTTTTTATGCCCCCGCTATCAGTCCTTCCGTCTTTCCGTCCGTCATTCTCATTTTTGTTGCAAAGCTTGAGTTGGGGGCATTCGTGTCCTCAGATGCATTCTTCTTTTATTTTTGTATTAATTTTTCAATGTATTACTAGTTATGAAACTGCCAGTTGGCAATGTAATTTAATCCAAAGAACCCTCCAAATTTTAGTTTTAATGCCTCAAGGAGATATTGGCTTAGGTTTTTTGTCTCGCCTTGACGCAGTCAAAAAGGGAGACATAGGTATGCTGTTTTACGGCATCGGCGGCATCAACAATGTATTAGTTTGTGATAAGGTCTAGTTTATGGTGAACCACAAATGGTAGGTCAATGATATTTGGTATGGAGTTGTATAAGCATTGGCATATCTCAATTCCATGGAGATTATTTGGCTCTGCCTCCTTAGTCATGGTCTATTGACTTTGACAATTTTGCTTAGTTTACATGTATTAGTTTGTGATTTGGTCAGTTCAAGGGGAACCATTAGTGGTAGGCCAATGTTAATTGGTATTCAGTTGTATAAGCATTAGTACATCTCATTTCCATTGAGAATATTTGGCCCTGCCCCCTCAGTCATGGTCTATTGACTTTGAAACTTTTGCTTAGTTTAGTTTGTGATTAGATCAGTTTAAGATGAACTGCTAATGTTAAGTCAATGATATTTGGTATGCAAATTTATTGGCATTTGCAAGTATCATTTCCATGGAGATTTTATAGCCCCACCCCCCTCATCATGATTTATTGACTTTGAAACTTTTGCATAGTTTACAAGTTAATGTTTGTGTTTAGGTTTTTTTTAAAGGGAACGACTTATCAGGGCTCACGCTAGCAGGCGACTTGGGCAAAGAAGTCGCTTTCCCGTCCGTCACTTCGCTTTGCCCGACCGTCAAAAGCGATATCTAGTTGCCCGGGTGTTCACAATAGTCGCTTTCAGTTGCTTTCGTCATCGACAATTTTCCATTTTCACAAAGTTGTTGAAACGGCAATTTTTCATTTATAAGTAAAAAATTCAAAGACATAAACAATTCATTTCCATTAGAAAACATGGGGAAAGCATTGTTTTGTAGATTGGTCGTATGTTATTTCAAAGAAACAACTTTTTATGAAGTATTTTCTTTCACTTCCGGCACTTGTTTCTCGAGAGCGTACATCAAAAGATCCTGATTTTCCGCAAAATAAATGTGTTACTTCATTAGAACGTAATGAAAATTGCCTTCAGTTAATGTTTCATCCATTTATTGCATTAAAAACGTCATATTCCTTTCCAAATCGCTTGTCAAACATCGTTTATTTTTGTAAATTTTCCTTCGTCCGCCATTGAAATATATACGAATCACGGATCGGATACGGACCAACTATGAATGAAATCTGTATTCTTACGATAATAACTACAGACGCACGAATGGCACTGCTGACAGAAGAATATCTATCACAAAAGTGAAAGATACGCATTCCACACGCATTAACAGAAATTTGTTTGGATCCCCTTAGTTACATGTAAATGTATATATTTCAATGCAAATGCATTTTTTCAATTTATTGATTTAAGTTGCTTAAATTTGTTAAATTTATATATCTTTTTAATGAGAAACAATGAATATCATCAACAGAATAGTTTTCCTCATTGGATTTTAATTGATAACTGATAGTTTCTTTTTCTTTTTGATTAAAACAAAAATATCCTAAAATAGGGCTAGACATTTAGTTAGTAGTTTCTGACAAGTTGAAAAAAATATAATTGTGTAACTATAAATGAAATTTAAGATATAAACTGATACAACTGTTACTGTAATGGTATTCTCAGGTATGATTTGAACAATACAAAAAAGAATTGAATAAATAGGATACATATGGCCATATATATTATTGTACAAACCAAACATTATAGCGCCCTGAACGCGCGAGCACTTCTCTTTTAAGTCTCACCACTTCTCCCTATCAGTTTCAAAAAGAGAAGTCACTTCTCCCTATGATTCTGAAGTAGTGTGAGCCCTGCTTATAATAAGTCAATGGTATTTGGTATGCTGTTGTATAAGCATTGGCACATCTTATTTCCATGGAGATTGTTTAGCCATGTACCTTCAGTCATAGTTCATTGACTTTGAATATTTGCATAACTTACATGTTAAAGTATTGCTATTTTAATTTCAACATTTGCATTATCAAAATTACAAAAAGGCGAGACATATCTCTGTGATAACAGTTTATCAATCACTTTTAACATATGTGCACATCTACCAGGAAAATGTATTGATCAAGTTGAGAACTAATATTATAAATGAAAATGTGGATTTAAGATTGCTTAGGCCGTGACTTCAGGTATACTCAAGATTTCATGGCTTACTGGACTTTGAAATTTGATAGTATGAGTTAGAGCATGGTGTCCCATTAACACATATTGTATTTAAAATTTATCCTAGATACTTTTATTACTTTTATTGTAAAATTTTGTATTGATCTAGCTACATAGAGTTTACTTATATTTTATGATTATTCAGGTTGACAATGCATCATCTCCAGGAAAATCTTGTCATTTGAAAGAGTTACAGAAGAGAAAAATCTCAGATAAAGATACAGCTGCATTCTTTGCTGATGGTTGGAGATCAAAACTTTGTACATGTACAGATTGTAAGGTAGTTTTCTATATTTTGACTCTTGTTTTTTTCAAAGTGCATTGATTGATAGTTGTTAGTAAATGTCCAGAGTTTGCCATGGATGAACAGGATGTAATTCAGTTGTACTATGAAATCGATTAGATAATATCTGAAAAGTGAATGACTGAGAATATTTGAAATTTTTTTACTGCTACTTAGAATTGAGGGCATGATTTTTATGAGTGAAACTTTACCTCAAATCAAGCAACCTGTGGACTGCTAAGAGTTTTCCAAATGATCCATCAGCTTGCAAAAACATGTCACTCTTCAAAACAAATAACCAGATTAGCGTTCATAATATGATTGTCAGGGCTACATATATATACGTCACACACAGGCAAACAAACTCCTGTTAAGGAATGGCAATAATGCTAAATGGGAGTTGTCCAGCTAGAAGCAAACTACTTCTATATGTATTGTTTTAACCTCTGCTTCACTAGCAGTTCCACACTCTTATTACTTCCAATAAGGGAGCATTTACATTTGCTGGTCTTGCAATGAATTCCCTGTCTTTGTTTGTGGCAACCATGGTCTTTCCAACCTTTCTGTCACACAAGTTTTTATGCCCCATTTATGGGCATTATGTTTTTCGGTCAGTGCGTCCGTCCGTCCGTCTGTCCCGCTTCAGGTTAAAGTTTTTGGTCAAGGTAGTTTTTGATGAAGTTGAAGTCCAATCAACTTGAAACTTAGTACACATGTTCCCTATGATATGATCTTTCTAGTTTTAATGCCAAATTTGAGTTTTGACCCCAATTTCACGGTCCACTGAACATAGAAAATGATAGTGCGAGTGGGGCATCCGTGTACCATGGACACATTCTTGTTTTTATATTGTTAAAATTACTCACATTATGAATATGCATCAGAGTGAACAAATATTTTATGGTCCTCTTGACTTAAAAGTCTTCTGAAATTATCAGTTTCATCAAAAAAATTCATACTTCAAAAATGGTTTCTCTTTGATTGTGCAGTCATTTTCAATAGACTGTATGAATTTTTTTCAGAATTTGTACTGCTTTATTGAATAGTTAACGGTATGTAAGGATTCCGTAGTAATAGCATATTATGAAGTGATATTTCTCAAGTGAGTATTAAATCTCTAAATACCTGTGTATAATGTAGGAATTGGATTTTATTATTAAATACCTGTGTATAATGTAGGAATTGGATTTTATTATGGCATATTTTTTTCTTCCTCAGAATATATATTGTGATCAAGAAATAGAATTTTTGAGTGATGAAAGTGATACGGTTCATGCTTATGAAGTAAGAGGAAAACAGAAATCCACACCTACATCCCAGTATGATAAAGGTCTTCAGGCATTGTCTAACATGAATAGACTACAACAAGTGGAAGTTTTACATGGTGGGTATTGTAATATGGTACAAGTTCAGATCTAGAGTTCATTGCCCTTTTAAACTCTTGTTTAAGAAATACAATTTTGCATGTTTTTTTTTTGGTTGAATTAATATGATGTTTGTGTTGCTGTTGCAAGGGTATTTAGCCCACATCTTCATTTAATTATATTTTTAGGTATAATTGCATATCTAAATAGAAAAAAAATCTCTGATACTATAAGCAAATGGTATTCAATGTTTGGTGTATGAAATGATTGTAAACTAAAGGATTACATGTCTGTCAGACAGGTTTTATCTGACCTTGACCTCATTTACATCGATCACTGATAATGCTACAGTTAACACATATTCAATGATTCATGATCAGAAAAGCAGGAAATGCATTTCACTGTGTGCTTTCTTGTTGAGTATTTGTGTTAAAAATAAAACTTTGAACTTTAACCTGCAAGGCTTTGTCATTGTTAAGTGCTTCTAATCCTTTGAATATTATTTGTAGGTTTTAATGATCTGAAAAGTGAACTGAATGAATACTTGAAAAAATTTGCAGAAAATAAGAAGGTAAGATAAATCATTAAGATGACTGAACCATGGCATGTTGTTGAACTTTTGATGAGCTTGAAATTATCGTTAACTTTCCATGCAAAATCAATAGTGTGAAACCATTCACAGAATTTAGTAACTTACGTCAGCTTTCTTCTATGATCTCATAATAATGTTCCCTGAAAAAATCAGAAAAGCATGCACTTGAAGCTGTGGTTGTGTCTGTCTGAACTAAATGGTTTCTGAATGATAACTTTGAGGCCTTGCAATAATATTACCTTCCATGAAATGAAGATAAAGGCAGATTTCCAGCATTGTTGCATTTTCCATTAAATGAGTTATGCCCCTCAAAACGTAACCTTTGTAATCAGGGAAACAAAATAGTTTCCTGGTGATGCTTGTAGCATGCTTTGGGAGCTATTTATATGTCATCTTTAGAACCACCAGTGACCTTAGTTAAGTTAAAGTGGAATACATATATGCTGTTCAAGGAATATCAGCTGGCTGTGCCAACGTTTTCCTAGATTTTTATCAGATTTTCTAAAAGCCAACAAGGAGTTTACCATGTTATCTATGTAAAAGCTTTATATAATAACTTCTTATCGGTCGTCCCACTGTCTATATCACTCTACTCAGCTCTTAATAAGATTGCATATCACGGATTTGTGACATCAAATACGTTGACCCGGCCTTAATAACTTTGACTCGGACATATCAGCGACATCATAATGTATGAACCGACGTTGATAAGTTTGACCTGAACTTATCAAGTCTTCTTCCGGTTTGCTGGTGAAACAAAGAAAACATTTGTTTCTATTATGCATAATACGCAAATACAACCCCATAAATCGATTATCTTGTTGTCTTCATATTTATATTGTAAAATATCAGCTGCTCGACACAATATAAAGCCTTTTTGAACTCTGCTGCGCTCACTCGACAAACTGCTTCATATTGTGAATCGCAGCTGATATTTTACAATATCAATATGTAGACAACCTGATAATCAGTACATACCAAATGATAGCACATGAAGTTGTGTACCTACTATTTTATTTCATTCACTTTATGATTCTTTTTGAGTTTGCCAAAGAAAAACGTAAGCTTGACAATGTCTACACAGATAGAAGTTTGTCAAATTAAGATTGGATCCAGAGCTTCCAAAAAATATTTGAGCCAGCCAGACATTTTTGTCTTATCCCGATTTCAATCCTTTTAGACCTAGTAACAAAAGGCAAGCATTTTAATCAGTTGGGCATCATATAAACAATGACTTACACAAAAATGATTTTAAACATACTTTTGGTATAAATTTGATGTTGACGTAAAATGTTTAATTGACAGTGCATCATTCGAAGTGTGCAACAACAGCATACTTATATCTGCCTTAGACTCTTTATTTGTGGAAAATTACGCTGTCAACAACTTCGCTTTAGATTTTTAAAAAACACATTTTTCTAATAATGGATGTTGACAATGGTAAAACATGGAGCAGAGACGGATACGTTAAATCCATGTACATTTAAAAAGCACGATTAAGTTTAAGTAGCTCTTTCCACGTTATTTCTTCAGGAAAATATTCGCAATGAATGTTAGATAAAGATATCAATGATAATTTAAGCTATTTTGAAAAATTTGGATGCAAAATTAAAGCTCACACCTGCACACATGTACTAGTTCAAACAACGTGGTTCTGACGATATTTTGCTTACAACCTTTATTACTACCTTTTCAAATTTTTCATCAAATTATATTTATATACATATTTCTGATAATATAAATCTTTTTGACTAAATTGATTGGATGCAAACCAGCTGAAATTAAAAAAAAATAACTTTAAATAGACCGATCTATTTCTGGTACAAAATAGTTTAACGGTTGCCTGAATAGGTAAATTTCAGCTGTCAGACAACTAATTAGCCTTGATTGTAATGAGAGGGTATTAAAGTAAGGTTTCTTTTGATAGTAATTATTCATCATGTCACTTTTATGACTGAAAATGTGTGGCTGTTTAAGGCAAATGGTCAGGTTAAAAAGATTGCAAATACTTCAATTTTTTCCCGAATTATTTTAAAATGGCAGAGCAACGTTAGATGTCCTGCTCAGGCTCGGCAGAACAAGTCAAATACAATACATAATTTAACGGACAATACAACCGTTTTGGAAGCCCTGATTGGAACTAAGTTGAACTTTGAGTTTTTATTTCAAATTGTGTAATTTAATTTATTTTGAAGAATTAATATCTTTAGAAACACATATAGGATGAAAGGGGAGGCATGTTTTTTTGTTTTTTTTTAAACAATTGCCATTATGCTTATTTCACTTATTTGAAGTTTTAAATGGGCACATGTGTCAATTACCATCCATAATTTATGTCTTTTAAGGTTGTGCGTGAAGAAGATATTAGAGAATTCTTCAGTACATTGGAAGCGAGGAAAAGGCAAAGAAAATCAAGTGATGAAGGAATGAGTTACTTCTGCAAATGATGGAAGACAGACATTTTATTGTTGATAATTGATTACAACTGTTTTAAAATTTGAACTGAACTGTTTTAATGTTTTAATATTTCTAATTATTAGATGTTATTTATTTTATTGTTAAACAGATGTTTTAAAATATTGAATGAATGTTGCTGTTGTACAGCATATGTTTTAATGTTTAACACATAAATGATTCTTTTCAGGCTCATTTTTCACAAGGACCAAAAAGCAAATACTGGCTTTCACAGAACATGACATTTATGTATAGTTAGTAGCTGCTTAAAAGGAGAAAGTTGAAGTATTTCATTGTTGTCTTGCCATGAATTAGGTAATACCTTTGTTTAATTGTACAATGTCAGAATGTTTATGATGTTGAGTTTCAAGTGAATATTGGCCTAATTTTTACATAAAAATTTATCATTTGAAAATGATTTGTGAAAATAAAGCATTGGTTCATTAAAACATTCTTATTATTATCTGTTCTCTTTTTAGATCAACTCGCCCTTGTCTGAAGGCCCATGTGAACCATCACTTTTGCCATCTCTGCGCCTGTCCCTTATCTGTCGTCCATAAACTTTTTGAAAATATTTTTTCTCTGAAACTGCTCAATGGATCAAAAACAAAGTTTGTCAGCTTCATGTATAGGATGTCCACTATGTAGTTCCTGATTTTTCACCAGGTAGATCAACCAACACTGGGACTGGGGCTAAAAATAGAACATAGAAGTGGAACTACAGTTTTGGTTAATGCCTTGAAAGCTATAGCAAAAATAGAAAAACCAATAACTTGAAAATGGCCAATACACCAGATTTATCTTCTTTGAAATTTTTTAGAAAAATCTATGCGTTTTTGAGTTATTGCCCCTTAAATGGTGATTTTTGTCTTGCCTGTTTCGAAAGTCACAGAACACAAGATATAGGGAATACAATGCGGTGCAGCGTAAACATTTTTTAAAGCTTTATATTTCAGAGGGTGGAAGACCTGAACGCTTCATACCTTGTATGCAGATATCTTATGTTGTGAAGTTTCTATCTGTCATATGTCAATTGTTCTTGACCTTATTTTCATGGTTCAGCTACTGCTTGAAGAAATTGTAGTTTTTTGGTTAATTGAAATACTTATTTTGAGTAAAATGGTATCAAATCTGTAACTCAGATACTACATTTGGTGTATTGAATAATTGTAAGGTGTACATGTCTGTCTGGAAGTGTTCATCTGACCTTGACCTCATTTTCATGGTTTTGTCTGTTTCTCAGATAAGCTATAGGTCAACTACATTTGGTGTATGGAACGATTGCAGTGTGTACATGTTGCCTGGCAGGGTTCATCTGACCTTCACCTATAGAGAGTAATTTCCCTTGAAAATAATATATTTTTTATTTATTTACTCAGGTTTTTACTGTTATTATGCCCCCCACCTCCCCTAAAGTGTTACCCTTTTTCCGTCGAAGTATGTCCCAAAATTAGTTTCAGATCAAGTTCGAATTTGGGTGGCTTCATTTTTACCGTTCTTGAGTTATGTCCCTTTATAACATTATATGCAATTGGGGTCATCATATGTGTCCCATGGACATATCCTCCATTTATCTTACAAAATATAAAAGCTAGGTTAATACTGAAAATTGCAAAAATGATAAGCACAAGATTTATCAACCCTGTAAATTTGTCTTTGGAGTTACTTCCCCTGAATATTCATTTTGACAATATTGCAATTTATGGTATCTACTGAATGGGAACCTGTTTTGAAGTTATTTTTACCTGAAACGTCAAATTTTACTGTTTATTTTTTGCTGTAACTACAGGGGGATAGGTTAAAAGTTTTGATTCAAAAATTATCAGCATGACGAGATCTATCTTCAAAAAAGAAATTAAAAAAATGTTGGTGCAGCCAAAGAGGTATTACTTCAAAGGAATCTACTTACTTGAGACCATCAGAAGTCAACTTTCCACAATGAGGTACAATATTTTTTTTAATGAGAATTTACTAAATTGTGTGTAATAAATCCAGATCAATGCCATAACATTGACTACTGGGAAATGATATCTTATAGGAGTAAAAGACTTCCAGTGGTAAAATAAACTCTACAAAGACTTTTGGGGGTCCATATGTGACTGATTACAAGGCAAAAACTCACCATATCTAACATTCCTATTTCCAACAGAGGTCTGAATTCACTACCTCTCTTAGTCCAATCATTTTGCAAAACATTTTGATTTATTGTTCGATTGTTTGCGTCCTTAAATACACATGACATATTTGCCACTGCACATTAAGTGAACAACAACACTAACAATCAGTCCGAATCATTTATATTTGTGAAAAGTAGGTTATCCTGTCTAATTTTACCTCATTATTCAAATCAGTTTTAAAGTTCGTTATCAGAAACTGGGTAGCCTACATTAGTTCTCTCATCACTCCGGTTGAATTTTGCTTTTCAATTTGAATATGGTTCAGCAAAAAAAATAAATCTCTGAAAAAATCATTCCCAAGTTTCTAGGTTACATTATTTAAGTAACTTGTTCTAGAAAGATTTAGGGCCAATTTCTCCTTAATGTATATCAAAGCAGTACTATTCCGATTATTACTTCAATTCACGGCATCAAGGTTTCCGTTGTAAACTTTTATGTTTTCATCCAGAAAGTGAAAAGGAAGGACTGGCTTTACCAAAAAAAGAAAAAACAGTTTGAATCAATTATAAATGCACAAGGTTTTCGTTTTACGCAAGTCTAAAGTTTAATCACCTGTTTCTTTTTCCTGATGATAGGTTTCATCCCTGAATAAAACGATTGTGGAATGTCTAAAATGCGGAATTGGTTTTACAACTTATTTTCACGTTCGGGTTTGACTGGGGTATAGAGATATGCGTATGGTCATCGGAACTACATTTATTCCCATCCGGCAGACCGTTAAGCCTATATGGACTTCTGGTCTAGCTGTGCTGGATATATACATATGCAGCAGCATCCGATCAAACTAGGGAGGTTAAATCCGATGTTTCGTGGTAGAACGCCACGTATAAGAACTCATTTTGCAACAAGTCTTAAGGGTTCTGTAGGAAGGCATGTTGTATTGGTAAATTTCTGTCCCTAGCATACATTTTTTCTAGTGGCAGTCAATTTCCCACCTTTCATCCCTGTCTATTCGCTTCGACTAAAGTATCTATTGTATTAATTGTTGATATGAATTTAAAATTTTCCACTGGACGTTGAGCAAAGTTCAATTAATCATTAGTTTCACGTATAGACTTTTTTCTTATTGGTTTAAAATTTTGATTCATTCAAAAAATGAATTAACGGCATCTGATGACGAACAGTAAGTTAAATTATCGTTATTCAAAATTTCTCACCAAATATGAATTATTTGAAGAAAAAAACTCGTATCGTAAAATCTACTTCAGTGTTTAAAAAATGATTGTGTATATCATTTTAAGGTGTGCAATAAAGTTTAGATTTTTTTTTTATATAAGTAAGATATTTTGACCTAAAAAACATACTTTAAATTTTTTTTGTAATTTAAAAGCACTGTTGATTGGTATTTAAAACGTTTTGTGTTCTACAAAAGTAGACGTACGCTATTGGGATTACAGTTGCAAATTTTTGGATAAAAATAAGATGACTTTTGTAATAATTCTGAGAGTACTGATTATAATACACCTTAGCCTATTTGGTTTTTGGCCAATTTCTCATATACACTCACAGGGTCACAATCGGAGTTTTTTTCCCAACTCTAATGAAATTTTATTATTAAAGAGTCTATCAAATATATATGCTTGAAACATTTTTTACACATCTCATATTAAATCAAAAATTATTCAGCACTAGTATACATATTCATATTGATAAGGAAGACACATTTTTGCATCGAGGAACATCTGTAACTAAACATGAATTAATTAGTACCAGAAAGACAAAGTAAAGCTTTAGTTTCAAGAGAATATTGGTCTTGGTTGAAAATGCCCTGTATGTTTGTTTTAATTTTTAGATAGTTGTAATGTATGTTTACACAATTTTTGGCTGCTGGATCCCAATGATTGTCACATTTACCTATCTATCATAATAGAAAAGAAAGGATATGGGGTATCCATCCATGACACAAAATCAATATGTTCACAGCGAAAAACACAAAAAGCAAAGGAACAGCGCTTTTGTTTCTGTCTGTTTGGGTTGCGCGCCCAATTTTTTGTTCAATATAACGGAACTATAAACAACTGCTATACAAGAGGGAGGTTTAGCTACTATAAAAAAAGTCTAATCCACCCCTGTCTCCGGAAAATGCCTGTACCAAGTCAGGAATATTACAGTTGTTGTTCACTCGTTCCGTTGATTGGTAACGTATTTATGGACTTTCCCCTTTGAGAATTTGCCGTAGAGCGGTATTTTTGTTATATTTTTTTGCGTTGCATTTTTGGATAAATACTCTAGATTTGCTAAAATCTATGAAGCCAAATCAGCTTATTCATATTACGTTCACTATATATTTATTGTTTGGTCGTTGTTTTTTTTCAAATAACATCATTGAACTACGAATCTGTAAAATTAAGTAAAGATTGGCAGATTTTAAAAGATCGCTCTCGTTTGAACTGAGTTTCCTGCTCTCTGTACGCCGATGAACCCTGCAAAAACTCTGTAACGATCCTTATATGTGGACTGTTGTAAAGGAAATTTTTTTTTCCTATCAAACATTTAAAAAATCGCCCTCGTCTGAAATTATTTCAGGGGAGGATATTGGTCGTACTACTTACAAGTCCAAAACTGAACCGTGACTGAAAACAAAGTTTTAAAACAGAATTGTTTATCGGCAGATAGTTTACATCCGTCTTTCATTGAATCAGCTGTTCTGCATATAAACGGGGAAAAAAGAATTTAACATTTTCTCCACGAGATAGTATGATGAGAGGAAAAGGACTATATATATGCCACAAACTGTTTATACTATACTAGGACTAATGTATTAGTGTAATAGTCCCAGGTTAAGAGTACAATTTATTTGAATAGACATTTACGGTAAAGTTCAAAGTGTTTTATGCAAATATGGTTATATATACGATTAACTTATTAATGATATGTTGAGTAATGCAGAATTTATTACAGATTTTTTATGGAATATTTTTTAATTCACATATGTTGCTTTAATCAAAATTCTCCGAATCCAAAACTTAGTAGTAAAATATCTAGGGTTGATATTGGATACTTTATGCGTACATCAAATGTTGAGTTTTAAACCCAATCACTTTCTGTTTTTTTTCTCCTAAAGATTCATCCTATTTTTGATCATATAGAAAAAAAATATATGAAAAGATAAGAAGAATTTTTCTAAACAACGTATAAGGTCTTTTATTTATCCCTCGCACGATTTCATCGAATAATTATGACCCCATAAGAAGACACAAAATTGTATTTTCATACAGTTAAATGATTCGCTCAACTTACTTCTAAAGCTTTCAAAAACAATTGAGTTCGTACAAACATCATAATA